AGAGAAGTGATGGGAGGGAAGAGGAGGGGTTAGGGAAATAGGAAGGATAGTAAAATGAAACAGACATTATTATTACTGTGTGTATATATGTGACTGAATGACCAATATGATTCTGCAAACTGTACACTCAGAAAAATGAGAAATTATGTCCCATCTGATTCAAATGTATGAAATGTCAAGATCATTGTATTGTCATGTGTAACCAAGGAAAACAAAAAATAAATAAATAAATAAATAATAAAATAAAAAGAGCTGGGAATGTGGCTCAGTGGTTAAGCACCCTATTCCAAAAAAAAAAAAAAAGTTAAATAAGTGTTCTGGCAGCTAGGTTCAGTGGTACAGGCCTTAGTTTGACCTATTGGGGAGGCTGAAGCAGGAGAATCATTTGAGCCCAAGAGTTTGAGACCAGCCTAGGCAACAGAAAGAGACCCATCTCCAATTAAAAAACAAACAAATAAACATTCTGATGAGCCAAAGAGAGAATGTTGATTTCATAAAGAAAGGCTAAAGAAAACAGAAGCAAGAACAAAGAATGGATTGGTTTCTTCAAAGGTACTTTCCTTGTAGGGCAGGAACATAGAGCTACAGAAAAATAAATGATTGATTAACATCAGGTTACTTTGAAGTTATCTAGGGTGTGGAGGGGTGTATTAAAGCAGAAGTAACTTCATTATCATTCCAGATGAAACTGGCCTGTTTGGGAAATGTGAGTGTTTTGACTGTTCTTTCTCCAGATTTCTAGGTAACTCAGATAAAAACTGCCAAGAGCCATAGCCAGTAGGAATGACGCATGGCATTTTTGGTTGAAAGATGACGCCAGCAAGCCATTGAGATGATAATGATTATGTTAAGATGTGCATTCAATTGGATATTAGACCCCTGCTGCCGCCTCAGCCTGCTACTTTGGAGCTCTCGAGGGGACTCCTGGAGAGTTCCCATTGGTTGGGGAAGTGCAGTAGGAGGGATTTCCGGAGGAGGGATTTCCGGTTGGTGTGGTGTGTCCCCAGAGAAGGCTGCATGCATGGCGTTCCTGGGAGTTTTGGAAATAATGTTTGTTCCTGCTTGAGTGGCTCGTGATTTTGTGCCCAGCCAGACTGTGGCAAGAAACAATTTTGGTTTGGCGACATGGATCTTTAACATGAGTAATCCAGTACTTTTTCTTTTTTTTGGTGCTGGGGATTAAACTCAGGGGTGCTTGATCACTGAGTTACATCCTCAGCCCCTTTATTTTTGAGACAAGGTCTTGCTAAAATTGCTGAAGTTGTCCTCAAACTTGAAATTCTCCTGCCTCAGCCTCCCAAGTCCCTGGGATTACAGGTGTGCATCATCACACCCAGGCAGTCTAGTTTTATTTTTAGTCTAGTCTACTGGGACCCAATGCAGGAGCCTAGTACAAAAAAAAAAAAAATGGCCTCCTCTCATCTTTATGTAACAAAAAAAAAGATTAAAAGAAAAACAAAAGTGCTATTGCAGGGCATGCTGGCACATATCTGGTAATTCCATCTGCTCAGGAAGTGAGGCAGGTGAATCACAAGTTCAAGGCCAGTTTGGGCAACCTATTAGGACCCTGTCTCAATATTTTAAAAAAGGGTAGTGGCTTCTGGGAATATAGATCAGGGGTAGAGTGCTCCAGTTTTAATACCCAATACTGCCAGAAAATAATTGATATAGAATAAAATGTTTAAAAAGTGGTGGCAAGGAGCTGGGGTTGTGGTTCAGAGGTAGTGCGCTTACCTAGCACATGTGAGGCTCTGGGTTTGATCCTCAGCATCACATATAAATAAAACAAAATAAAGGTATTGTGTCCACCTGCAACTAAAAAATTTTTTTAAAAAAGTGGTGGCAAATATTAATGAACGATCCAATGACAAGAAATTGGCCGTGGTGGCTCATGCCTGTAATCCCAGCAGCTTGGGAGTCTGAGGCAGGAGGATCGTGAGTTCAAAGCCAGCCTCAGCAATGGAAGTGCTTAGCAATTCAGTGAGACCCTGTCTCTAAATAAAATACAAAATAGGGTTCAATCTCGTATCAAAAAAAAAAAAAGAGGCATGTACATGTCTTCAGAAAAACATGTAGAAGAATGTTCATATTAGCTTTGTTTTGAAGCAGTGGAGGGTTTGTGAATATTCATTATATTGCAAATTAAATTAATTACAAATCTATAAAAGATGCCAGACATGGACTACTAATGACAGTCATGAACCAAGGTTTATGATTTATTCAAATTCATGCAGTGTAATTCATAAGTCATTGATGAGAATGGTAAGAATTATTTTTTAAATTCTCCTATCAAAAACTTTATTTATACAATTGCAAAATGACTTTTTGTAAAAATTCAGCCAATAATTATGATTTACTCAAGTAGGATATTTGTTCTGTGATCATTGAAGAACACAAGAGAATTCTTTTTTTTTTTTTTTTTGGTACTAGGGATTGAACCCAGGGAAACTTCACCACTAAGCACATGTCCCCAGCCTTTTTTTTTTTTTTTTTTTTAATTTTGAAACGAAGTCTCACTAAATTGTTTAGGGCTGGGCTGGGGATATAAAACAGTTGGTAGAGTGCTTTCCTTACATGCACAAGGCCCTGTGTTCAATCACTAGTACTCCAAAATAATAATAAAATAATAATAATAATAATAATAATTGTTTAGGGCTTCAATAAGTTGCTGAGGCTGGCCTTAAACTTGTGATCTGATCCTGTGAGTTGCTGAGATTACAGGTGTGCACCATCATATCCAGCTGAACTCAAGAGAATTCTACAAATTATTTCAGTATTGTGATAAAAAAAAAAAAAAAAAAAAGATGTCCAGTTGAACTGGGCACACTGGTAATCCCAGCTACTTGGGAGGCTGAGGGAGGAAGATGACAAGTTTGAGACCAGCCTGAACAAATTAGCAAGACTGTCTCAAAAAGAAAGAGGGGGAGGAGGACTGGGGCCTTAGCTCCGTAGTGCAGGACTTCTCTGGTATGTGATAGGCCCTTGGTTTTATGCCCAGCATGGAAAAATAATTTCCAATTGGTTCATTTCTCTGATTACTTTACTTCCTTTCCCAAGCTGAACAAGAAAAGAAGTATAAGCATTGTAAAAGCTTAGAGTCCTGCAGATTTTGGAGCTGGGGAGAGAAAATACAGCACAGAATAACCTAAATGTCTAGCCAAAGCTTAAGTCTGGCCAGGCTCTAAGTATGCTGTGAAAACTTTTTGGCCCCTGGGAGCAGTGGTGCATGCCTGTAATCCCAGGAGGATGAGAGTTCAAGGCCAGCCTCAATAAAAGCAAGGCACTAAGCAACTCAGTGAAATCCTGTCTCTAAATAAAATACAAAACAGAGCTAGGAATTTGACTCAGTGGCC